CTTGAAACTCTGTTTTCTAGCTCGTTTTAAAATTTCTTTTTGATGATAAAGATCTGAGATTGTTGTGAGCTTTATTTTTTGATTTGGCTTTTACTTTTACTTTTGCAGGTTTGTTGTTTTATTTTGCAGGCGTAAAAATTTTTTTGTTTTTTTTGTTAGAACTATTAGATCCGTGAGTAGAAAAACGGAATAGCGACAATAACGGTCCGTTATTGCCGTTATTGCCCGTTACGCCGTTATTTTGCAACCGTTACTCTCGTTTTTGCTGTGAATGAATTTCTCAACCATTTTCTATCTATTAACGATGGCGGAAGGCAGCGTTACCGCAATTTTGCTGCCACTATTCCGCTATCAACCCGTTTTTTGAATCTCTGGTTACATTTATGGCAAATATTACTGTTTCAGAAGATTGGAGATGGTGAGACATGGCCATTGTTTCCTACAGACGACATCAATTATTGATGGTGTTTTTGAGATCTCTTAGTTGGAAGGAGACGTTGAGAGGTTGAAGGTGGAATGGCCTAAACCTGCAACTAGAAAATACGGTCATGGAGCATCGAAGTTGGTTTTCCAAGATGTGTTCTTATGCTTAAGTCAGTGAGGTAATAAAGGTAAAGTGAGGTATGCCTAGGAAGTTACAATAGAAAAAAACTATTTTAAATGTGAAGTGAGGTGTGTGTATGGTCTTGTTTCTTATCTCATGTACCTAAACTTTATTTGTACTTATATATAAGATAAGAGATAATAATTTGATTAAAATAATTGATAATTGATAAAAAATATATATAAAATAAAAAATTTTACATAAATAATTATTTGTTATATTTAATGATTTTAAATAAGTAAAAATTATATTTATTAATTTCAAACAAATTAAAAATCAAGTGTTCAATTTAAAGTGATGATTGATAAAATATCATTGAATGTTGGGCAAGCCTTTTTTTTTAGTGGGGTGCAACCTAGTCCTTGAGTAATGATGATGTGGTAACTTGGCGTGTACTGTTTAGGTGCTCTAAGGAGTTAAATATGTTGACCAAGAGTTTATGGGTGTAACAAACTTTAATTTTTCTACAACTGAAGTAAAAGAAAAAAAAGAAAAGTAAACATTATGCTTCATCTATGATACCTTGGTATGAAATGTAGTGGCAGCATGGCATCTGGCACTTTTAGCTTTGGTCTATCATCAATGGCTACCAAGAGAAGCTTTGTTTATAGCCAATCCTATATAGGTGTTACTTAAGTTACCAAGTTTGTGCAATCCATGCGACGGAGACTAACATGATTGATTAGTTCAATTTATTGCTATTACTTTTTACCATAATTTATAAATTCATAAATTTATTACTATACATATAAAAAAAATTATTATCAATTTTTTTATTTAGGTGTGAATAATTATTTAATAAATTTATTTTTTTTAAAATATCTTAAACTTGATTAAGAGTCTTTTTAAAAAATAAATTTTAGACGTATTTATAACTGAATTCGAGAGTATAGTTACCTAAGGAAACAATTATAGCACTATTACAATGTCTATACTAGGATGATACAAAGTAATTCCAAATTATCCTAAAGTCTTGGCTAGATAGTCTTTTTATTTATGGCTTTTACTTAATTCAAACATTTATATATTGAAAGAATTTTAGGTTTTCCTCATCATTTTGTAGAATTCTTAAAAGTTTTTCACACATCAAGAATATTCAAAGAACCCATCGTTCACTTGAAAAAGTTTTTATCGTTGAATTTATTTTTCTATTTAATCATTTGTTTAAGTTTTTATTCTAATTTTTATTTTGATTTCTTTATTTTAAGAAATGTATCTAACTTTTCTATCATTCAAGAAATATTTAGGAATATCTTTTCACCTAAAATATTTAAGAAAATCAACAATTCTTGATTTATTAAAATTTCATCATTGGATTTATCTTATTATTTTTTTATTTCTAGGATTTATTTTTGTTATTTCTAAAATTTTCTAATTTTTATTATTATTTCAAAGGAAATATCAATATTGTTATTGAAAATTTTATCTAAATTCTTCACAATTTTAAAGAATTTAAATAGAAATTTGTCATTTAAAAATTTCTAAAAATTCAACTATTATTGATTTATAGAATTTCATCAGTCAGTAATTTTCATTTATTCTTAAGAATTACCTTTTTTTTTTTATTGCTGTAAATTATTTTTATATTTGAAATTTTCATATAAAATTTTCACCTTTTTGGAAATATTTAGGATAACACTTCTCAACTAGAAATTTCTAAGAAAATCACCATTTGAAATTTTAGAATTTCATTACTAGATTTATGAAAGATTTTAATTCTAAAATATATTCTATTATTTCCAAAAATTTCTCAATTTAGTTATTCCTTTCTCATTATTGCTTGAAAATAAATATTAATATTGATATTGCTATCGAAATTTTTTACTTAAAAATTTCACCATTTTGGAAAATTTAAGGAAAAACATTTCACTTAGAAATTTCTAAAAAACAACCATTCTTGATATTTAGACTTTCAACATTGAAATATTTTCACTACAAAAAATCTGACATATAGTGATGCTAAAAAAAGCATTAATAAACCTCAAAATCCATCAGTGTAGCACCATAATCCTTATATCGATGGTCAAAATGTGTATTCTGATAAATTTTTAACCGTCAGTATATCCTTGTCGGTATAGACTTATACTGACGATTTTTAAGGGGTCAAAATAACTCACAGAGATATGAATACGATTATCGTTAGTAAATAAATATATATTGGTATAGTATTAGTTGTGTGTACCATCGTTATACTTTTTACTAATGGTTAATACCTGTCAGTATAAACTTATATGTTTTAATTTTTCTTATCTATACTGACAGTTAATACCTGCCAGTATAAACTTGTAATTCTTTTTACCTATATTGATGCTTAAAGCCCGTCAGTATAGATTTGTATGTTTTAATTTTCTCACTTATATTGATTGCTAGCGCCCGTTAGTACAGATTTATATGTTTTAATTTTTCTTACCTATACTGATGGTTAATACTCGTTAGTATAGACTTGTAATTTTTTTTACCAATACCGACGCTTAGCATCCATCGGTATAGACTTATATTTTTTTAATTTTCTTACCTATATCGA